TGTCCACAGATCTCGGAGATCGCAAGCAAAGATATGATAACNACTTTATTTATAATGAGGCATGATAACGGGATGCATTTCAAAGAAAATTACTTGAGAGGGTCATTTATGAAACTTGAAATTGATCTTTTTGCACATAGAATTTTTGGCGATCGCTACTAATTTTGAAATTAATCTTGTCATAAAGAGGTCAAATGTCTGTGGTTCGAGTTAGGCAAATTAAATTTAAAATTTAAAAGGACTATTATTGGTTAAAAATAAAAACCTAGAATTATAACGGGTGACGAATTTTCGTCAAAAGTACCCGGTTGAATAAGTTGGGGAAAAAGCATGTAATGGGAAATGGTCGATGTTTTACTTAAAATTAATGTTGAGGTGGGTTGTTGGTTGTTTAAAAATAGAATATATTTTAAGAGAAAGTGAAATAACTGAATAAATGTGTCGGAATATTATATCAACATGAAACTAATAATCGTTTAACGAATTTCCTTGATCACTGTACCAATATTACCACTAATGTATTTTTCTTAATGGCAGGCACTGAAATTCTACGCTTTTGGCCTAGGAAGATGACGGAAGTGTTACTCATTTAACGTTACCCAGTGGGCACCCGTGAACCTAAGTCACGGAGGCGAGCAACATTACCCACGCCACGCTGCCACAAATACCCGTTTATAGGGTGGACCACATTCACACAATCGAGAGCAACACACAAAGAGAAAAATCCATGCCCTGAGTGGGATTCGAACCCGCAGCCATTGGCTTCGCAGTCAGGCACGCTAACCACTCGACCATCTCGGCAGGCCCATGAATGTACAAAATACGGCATTTTATAGAATGCCTAGTCATTGTAATATTGATAATGATAATTTTTTCTGTAATTTCTCTTCCTTTTTCTTTTTTCATAATTTTAAATCCTTTCTTACTTTAACGAAAACTACCTATTGTAAATGCATATTTCTTTCTCATCTATCTTAAATATAAATATTTTATTTAAAGGATGTAATGAAACTCATGGGTAAAAACTTTTTACAGGTAGAAAACATTTAAACAGGCTATTTTCACCGTACATGGGCGGAGAGCAAGCTGCGAACCACTGGAAAGTACCCGTTACTATTGTATGAAAAAAAAAGAAGCATCAACATCCACCCTCAAAGATGCTCGCAGTTCCTCTTATTTCAAGACGCTCTCCCCTCTCTGAGATGCTTCTTATTCGTATTAGACTGCAAGATTTGCCATGCTCGAAAGAGCAACTGGAGGACGTAATTAAAATAAATAAAAAAATATATAAAAAAAACATTATTTTTAACTACGTAATTTAAAATTACAAGCTTTAAAATTTGAACGAAATTTATCACATGAATGAAAGTAATGAATGAAAGTAAGAATGAATGAAAGTAAGAGTGAATGAATCACATGAATGGAGTAATGAAAATTAAAAAAATTCGACTGTTTTGATTCTATTCAACGCGAAGAAAGTGAAATTAACATAAAGCAACTCAAAGTTGCATCCCAACTACTGTGGCCATATATGTTTCCAGATTACGGCTATTACCCATATTTTGAAGGTCAAGAATCTAAATCCATCGGGGGAAAAAGAGATACGTGTATTCATAAAAAGTAATTTTTATGTCAAATTTCTTAATTTAAAATATCGTCTGCACAAATAATTTAGCATATTTGAGGTCAGTCTCCCAAAATATATGGATTGAATTTTAGTTTGTGAAAATAAATCAAAAGTTATTTAAGTATTCTTTTTTTTCTTTTCAATTTGCTCAATTGAACTGAGTATTATGAAATTAACTATTAGACAACAAATTATAGCGCCCAACATCAAGGAAAAAGTCATTCCAAAAAGTCTGAATTCAAAATGTTTTCATCTTTGTTTTAGGCATTGTATTTCCTAATGCAACGCCCATAATGGAGACAGTTCTTAATGGAAAGGGATTGAAACTCAATTTCAAAATTTGCTTTTAAGAGAAAAGTAAGTTTTAGAGAAGCATCTGGTTAAACAAAATAAACTGAGATGAGCCGACAAAGGATATCAAAACACATAAGCATAGGTTCAAAAATTAAATTTTTTCAAGAAGTATCTTCAAATTGGGGATCACCATTGTAAATTTTGTTTTAAAAAAATCGTCAAATATTTTATGCATATTTTGACAGCAATCACGCTGAAGAACTTAGCATAATGCCTATTTTGTATTGATTTGTATATTTAGATGGAATACGTATTAATAAAATTTATTTTAAACTAATTGCATTTAAGAACATGACATTAAGCAAAAACTATTAATGCGAGATGATTGCATTTATAGTTTTTTATTAATGAAATGATAAGTTCGGTCCCTTATTACTCTAAACTATTTATTCCAAAAACTACTTGGTCCATAAACTCCAAGTTACTTGCAGACTAAGTAGTTAATTTTAGTTTTTTAATGCACTGTACAGAATCATACACTTGACTTTCTTGTTGTGATTATGTAATATATAGTGAAATATAAGTACTTTTTGATATCCACCTCTCTTTATGCTTGCACTCTTTTTTATAAAACTAAGATTTTTAATTTTAGTTTGGTACTCTTAAGGTACTTTGCACTTTTAAGGTATTTTGCACTTTTAAGAGCTTGTAATCAAAGTTGTACTATTAGGGGGAAATGATTCAGTAAGTACTTTTTTACTTATGACAATAGTCAGTCGATGACTCAGGGGCATATATGGCAGTACTTTTACTTTCGTTACTTGTACCGCCGGTACAAGTAAAAAGTACGTTCTTTTACTTGTACTTCGTTACTTTTTAAATTTGGTACTTTTACTTGTACTTTCGTTACTTTTTTAGGGAAAAAGTACAAGTATTTGTAACGGAAATGTTGAATGAAATCGTTACTTTTTTCTAAAACTCGGTAAGCGTTCGAAAAAAAATCCAATCGATATTCAATCGTAAAAAAATTATATATGAAATATAATACTGCAGTACCTTCTAGTGCTCCCGTGGAGCGCTTATTCAGCGTGGCTAAGCACGTTCTGAGAAATTCTCGTAGCAGACTCAGTGACACCACTTTCGAAATGCAAATATTTTGCAAAATGAATAAAAATATTAAT